GTGTGTGGCAGAAAAGATTTTTGAACTTTCAGGAATGTAGCAAGAACCTCGGTTAAAAGCTTCGCTTTTTTTTGCATGAAATTTTTGTATCAAATGCGTCTAATTCTATGCCTTATTGTTTTCTTCACATATCCAGGTCACTGTAAGAGCTCCGTTTTCCAGCACAGTGAACTTTAGTTCCAGATTAGCGTCTGCTGAAGAACACTCAAAAACCTGGACCAAAAATGAAGACTTTAAATATTTTCCTAAAGTGTGTTATTGTTTAGAATTTTTTAGTAGCTTCAAAATTATGATGATAAAAATTATTTGACGTTCATAAAGCGTATTACAACTGCTTCCACTGTTGATTAGTAGGCACACTCTTCCTGTATTACTTTCATATATAATATAATATTATATACTGAACCTGATTTTATTCCGATGACTTGTAATTTAATTTACATGTTTAATTCCTTAGTTCATTTTAACCTCAATTTAGTTTCATGGCATTCACTATGGTATTACCAATGTTATTTATGAAACGTTTACCCGTGATAAAAGAAAATAAAATATTTCAAATATAGTGGTTAAATGAGTCATTTGTTTTCATACTTGGCACTTTTTCCTGTTCAGAATAATTTGTGTGAGGAACTGTTAACAGCCATGTAAGATGCAATGGCAAAAAGACAGACTTTATTGTCCCAAATCGTTTCACAGCACAGTCTGCTTGTTTCGTTCTGATGTCCCATGTCTGTTCAAGTCGGGCTTTTGAACATGGCCGCTGGGTAAGCATGATGGCATGCCTTTCGCACCCTTCCCTCACAGCTCCCTCCATGCAGAACTACGCATGCGCCGCTGTGGCGGCAGCACAGGGGCAGGTCCTGTTTTGGGAGAGTAAAGGAGCAAGAGACGCCATGATTGCTCAGCTCTGTGAGTTGGTCTGGATATGGGTGTCAGCCAAATCACTGAGGGGGAACATGACAATACTCACTGCTTTCTCTGATATTGTTGCATTGTTTAACAAGTCTGCTCTCTGTGCGCAGTGGGGAAAATGTTACATATCACAAGGATATATTCAGGAATCTACATTATCCCTTTTTCTTTTGGGAAATGTAATGCCTAAGTGTTTCAGATGATCATTGATGTAAATGAGAAAAGTAATATTCACTTTTCTGCCATTAATGAAGTAATTTCGTTAGGGTTTTGCCTAAATTGAATGTATAATCCAAAGAAAAGTTATTGGAAAACTTTATTTATTTATAGAACTAAATATGATTTATAGAACAAACATATCCTTTATTTGTATTAATTTTTTAATGAGTGTAGACTAGTAACCTTGGTATTAAATGTCTGCACTTGCAAGGTTTTTGGTCCCAAAAGTGCTAGATCAGCCAATGAAATACCTGAAGAACACCATCATAAGTTCAAAGTTATGTAATTGTTGAAGGCTGCGTACCTTAAGATGAACTTTGCTGTTCTTGCAAGATTTTCAGTTCTCAGGTCACCTTTTTTTCATACTAACCTGAGATTTTCTGTGCATGTAACCAACCCTACTCTGGGAAACTGCTTGCTGTTTAGAAAGTTGGTTGTGACTTTACAAAGTAGCTTATTTCTATTGTGTTTACCCAGCTCTGTGTTTGTGCTTTGAGCTTAAGTATGACAGATCAAGTGTTGTCAAGGTGCAGTGGGCTGTGACTCAAAACAAAGGGAACTGGACAGCTAAACATCAATTTCCCATGCATACAAAATGCTTTTATTCTAGCTAGAGCTACTTGTCTGCCGTAGAGTGGAGATATCCTCAATGAACGCAATGCTTTTTTTCCTTAATCACGTCAGCTGGATGATTAACCATTTTGTACAATTACCTAAGTCGCTCAGAATGGACCTGAAGTTATACACATTGGAAAAAATGTAAGTGAAATTTGATCTCACCCTTAAATTCGCTATAAAGTTCAACCGCTGAGCTGTGGCGTTAACTTGTATTCTAACAAGATTAAAATATATTTGTCCTGGAGATTAGCATACTTAAATCCTTTTTTGCTTTTTCTGAACTGGCAGTGTGCTTTGATCTGTGTTGCGTGGCAAGAGCCTGGCTTTGGCTTGGCCATCCGAGTGCCAAGTGTGAAATTGGCCTGATGTCATCCCCATTCTTCACCCTCTACATCTTTCACTGCCTTAATTATATTTCCGCCACAAAGCCCCAGCTCTTCATTGCATATTCAAGTTTGACTAGGAAGCATTCAAAAACTAGATAAATGACTCCGTTGGAAAGGGGACAAGATAGGCCTTTCTCTGATAAGCAGACAGGGAGATCAACACCGTTCTGATATGTATTTTCTTTTCTAGAGTGACTGGCCTCAGGAACCCCAGCCATTCAGACTTTGGAAAGACCTGTTTAGGGAGAGGAGAGTATCAGTGTGTGTTATCAGTTCATCAGTGATAAATAAAAATGGTAGAATTCAAATCCAGATCAGTACCTCTGAGGTAACCTGAGTTATGGGGAACTGGCATGGACATCATTTTCATTTTTAAGCTAGGCTTTTAGCGCTTCATATTTTGTCTGTCCAGCAACCAGTCAGAAGTTGGCGGTATGCCTTCTTGGACAAAATAGTTGAAGCAAGAGTGAGAGTCCTTGGGAATTTCTGGATGTGAGTTCTAGGAATCTCGTCCGACCATTTCATCTCAACTTCGATTGCAGAAATGTTCTGTTGGTGTATAAAGTGAAACCAATTAATGAGATGCCTTTAAGATCCGTGCTGAATTCCGAGGTGATGAAACGTGGGCGAAGTGAAACGAGCCACCTGCAGCTGTGACAGGAGGCTTTGACCTTCAACGGGGTCTCCCGGCCACAGACTTCATTCAGGAGCCTCGCTGCGCGTCTGAGCGGCAACTGCCTTTTTCTTCCCAGTGAAGCTCGTCAAGTCAGTGACCGTTGGGCGTTACTTCCACATACAAGCTTGGCAAGAATAGAAATGCAGATTAGATTCTCTGGCATTGAGGAACAGGTCAGTGCTGGGAACGGTTCTCAGAGATAGCTCGCCTTTTGTGTTGGACCTTTTCAGTAATGGGCTACGACTTTTCTTGAAATGTTTTCATGGCGTCAGGTAACACTGAAGTATGTGTAAAGTTTCTGGTAAGAGTTACGAGTGCAGCAATGCCAACTAAACACATATTTACAAAGTTTAGCTCAATATCGATAGTATCTCGTTTATTTCATTTTAGAGTATTTGCGCAAAATTATGCATAGGTTTACTTTTTAGACGGATTAGGTACGTTTATCATTTAAGAGGTGATGAGTCGTATTTCTGGTTATAACTTGTGTGTAAATTAGACGTAGTTAAAACAAAGTTTCGCCGTTTTTAAAGTTTTTTTTTTTTTCATGCTCGGAATTTTACAAGTGAAATTACATCTATTAGCAGCATTTGGACTCCCCCAAGTGTTGACAGTTGGACTAAATTTGGCTTTGCAGCATAGTTTAGTTTTTTTGTTTAGGCCTATTCATTTTTTTTGTTGCAACCAAATCACGTTAGACGCCAAATAAACCTTGGGACGAAACCAGATGTGTAGCATGTCTCATAATAAAAGAAAAATTACTTTTGATCATTATAGATCGAGTTTTACCAAATTTTGTAAACTGGTTGTTGCTGCAGCCCATGCAGTAGTACATCTGTCAATGTGGCCCTGTTTTGATGTATTCAAACTGTGTTACCGTATTACGAATTTTTATGTTTGGCTGTACAAGATTTTGTGAACTTTTTATTTGTATTTTTTTTTTATATTGCTAAGAGGTTTATTTTTCTCAAATGTTGCACTATGTACACAGTAAGGTTGTGCCAAAGTTAACTTTATTTGTGCTTTCCAGTTGAATGTGAATCAAGGCCACCTATTTTGGCTGCGTAATCACTGTTGCATCCAGCAAGACTGTTTTTACCTTAATTTTAGATAATGAGCCTCGTGCTCTGTGTGCCCCGCCTACTTTTAGAAGCTTAATTTGATTCAATGAAAAGGACAATTCAAGTAAATGTAAAGTTATTTTGCCTTTTAATTAATGCCATGTGCTACTTGCCATTGCCTTCTTTTCAGACATTTCAGACCATTTGAAAACATTAATTATTAGCTCTGCAAAGTGCTACAATAAATCTTATTGCGTTCCAATTCTCTTTTGAAACCGTTACACAAGTAAACGCTATACAAATTATCCTCTGTTTAATGTTACACTAAATCCTATTGATATTAAAAAAAAATAAATAAAACGGTCTGTTTACTTTTTACGCCTGTACTGTCGATTATTTGTCTTTCAGTGGATTTGTTTCAGTTCTTTACTTTTCGTCTTTCTACTTAATGTATTACAACACTTCTGGACAGATCTTATAACTTTTTTCTAAATCATTATCCGAGTCTTTTTTAATTTACGAAACGTTTTGCCAATATTTTGGAGGCAGTGGTGGTGATGATGCTCTTTTTCCACAATATGTACTTTTAAAAGGGGAGAATACACGACAATTGCAGACTTTATTAAAACATCCACTGCTGACAAGATTTTAAATAATATTCAGATAACCTTTTAAGAGAGTTGGGTTTTTTTTTCAGCTAAATAACAATTGTAATTTCATACTGAAGTATAAAATAGGGGATGAAACGAAAATGCTTCTGTAAAATAAACTTGCCAGATATCCATTTGGAAAAAGATGAGAGAACTTTTATTGTACATTCCCAGCTAAAGTCAACAGACAACAACTTAAGTCAAGTACTTGCATTAGAAGTGTAGTTTTGAGGTTTACTGACTCGTATGCATTCAGATGTCTGATCTATTTCCTGAAAATGTGAGGATATTGGATGTGTAGCATCCTTGCGGATAGTATTTTAGACCATAGCTCTTTTAAATACAATATACTGAATTATTGTAAGCATGATATGATGATATGCAATGTTGTCTTTTTTTAAATACCATGTCTCTAACACAACTCCAGTCAATAAAGTAAAACATTCATCCAGTAATAAAATTATGCATGAAAACAAACAAACATCTAAATCAGATAAAACATTTTGACCATTTATTTTAAATCACAGTCGCCTGAATGCAGCAGGAAAAATCTTTGGACTTCAGCATGGATTTAACACGTTCACTTGTGGCTCAACGTCAAGTGTCAATCAAATCGCTCCCTCTTTTTTTAAATAAAGAAGCGTCCTTTTCTTCGCGCGCTATATCTGAAGTTTCAGTAAGTGTACAGCAGTGATACTAATTGAAAAGGTTTTACACCACTGTACACGTAAAGTGTATATATACATAAAATATTGCAGAATCAAATGTCATACATATAGTTTTCATCCGACTAATGCTGGTATTTTGTACACTGGCCCTTGCTTAGGATTATTGCATTTCAGATGTCCTGTCCTTCACGTTAATCACTGTCTGATTTGTCGTCCTTTGCTGTTGTGGCGTGATTGTATAGTCCCTGTGCCATCAGGTGCAATGCAAGTGAGTTTTTGCTCCCCGAAGCTTTTTTAATCTTCGCTCTTTTGTTCTGAAACCAGATTTTGATTTGAGACTCGTTGAGGCCGAGTTCCTGGGCCAGTGCTTGTCTCCTCTGCTCCGTCAGGTAACGGTTATTCTGGAATTCGTTCTTGAGTCTCTGGAGTTGCTCGGCTGTGAAGGCTGTTCTTGGACGCTTGTCTTCCTTGGTTGGATTTTTCTTCTTTGGTTTGCGCGATCTTGGTCCTGCATTTCAGAAAGTAACGAAAGAGATTACATTTTGCTCGTGCCGTAAATGCACATAGCCTATTAATGTTGTATCAGTAGTCTATTTTCAATATAGTTGCTTAACAGGCTAATACCACTATTAAAAATAATACAACAATAATCAATAATGCTGTTTCGATAACAGTGTTATTTAGAGTTACTCGGATCAAGGATTGTTTCAGATCAAATGTTGCAGGGAGTCTGCTCTAGTTTTGACTATGGAAGCATGGTGTAGTAGTGGTGGTGTGGGTGGGGGTGGGGGTGGGGGTGACTACCAGAAAGGGAGGGGTGAAAGAGGTTTTCCCCTCTTTCTGTTACCATAGGAACTACATTTATAAGAGAACGTTTTTGTAAACTTGCTCTAAGAGTAGCACCTGTTGTTCAATGCTAGTATACTACCCACTGCTTATTCTATTTTTAGTTAATTGTTAGGTAGCCTAAACAAGTGCACCCAAAGGTTCCGCGTGGTCTGAATACTGACAATAGATTGATCGGCAGCCTATGAGATGAGCCCTTGCTCGCACCCTATTTTTACACATTTTATTTAGCTTAAACGGAGTATGATTTCGATTGTAGACTGCTGTTATAATACAATATTAATATTTTCACGTTGTGTAATCGAAAAATCAATTTAAGGAATCAATAAACGTACTCGCATCATATAGCCTATACATCTTTTAAGTTAGTGTGACCTTTCCAAATATTCATCCCTGTTATAGCTAACAATGTAGTGTGCTTCATTGTATAAAAACTTTGGTAAAATTATGTTCACAGACTGCATATTAAAAATGGGTTTAAGATGTAGCCTATTCGCAAGATTATTGTAGAATATATTAATCAGAAGTTTCGTCGTGACAAAAAAAAAACTTGTGTTGGCACTTTTTCGGAAGGCCGTTTTCAATTTGAACTTCATTTGAAATTAGTTCATTAGAAATGCTGAAATATTGTCTAAAATTGTCCGATTTTTTTTTCTATCTTATGCCGTTAAGTGCAGGAATAGCATATTTATTTCAGAAGCTAGTTTTGAAGACCTCTGATTTAGCATTTAGCTTCTGTGGTGCGTCCAACTCCATTGTCAAAAATATGCTAATTAAATATCAACAAAGACATCGAAGTAACAATGGCGCAAAACTACTCGTTCCTTTTTAGAAAATAAAGGCAAAACTGTACCATAATTACCATTACTAAAATTGTACAAAAAAAAATTGTCAGTTCTTCCTTTTCTTCAACAACTTAAGAAATGTCAAATCAGACATAAACCAAGGGCCACATTGCACCGTATACGAAACGTAGTTTTTTTTTTTGTGGGGTTTCTACTGATTACATAATAAGCTACTACGCCTGTAAAATAATATATAATAATAATCATAATTCTGATTATTATTATGGTTAAAATAATATTTAAAACGACAATAAAAATTATTAGGCCTATTAATAATTCTACACATGTAGCCTATCATACAGCAGCAGTAGCCTATTTTATATATTTAAAATATTTAAAATATTTGTAAATATTGGATTTAAATGAATAATAATAAAATCTTCGTAGTTATTCCTTTTAATTTAAGAGAATAGACTCCCTGACTCTTGGCGGGCCGTTTCACATTCATGAAGAACATTATTCTTCGTTTTCGTGCCCCCTTTCCATCGACAAATTTGTGTAGTTTGGTGATTTATTTGCTCACATTCAGTCAAAACACAAGCGCGCTTTTACAACAGGTAATATTTGAGTACATAAATTGAACTTTGAAGAGAAAATAAATTCTTACCTGATGAAGGTCTGTCTGAATATCTTGTGCAATATACCCAAGCCGGCCAAAGCATTGGTTGTTTCGTCTGCGCAGCGTTACTTTGCGAGCAATCCGAATCTGAGCTTAAACTTTGATCTCCAGTCTCTGCGCGGGTTTTCAGAGGTGCGTCCGCGGTAATATCAGTTTTTTTAGACGCGCTCACTGGGTGAGGGCTCGAGGTTCCTTCCCCTGACACTGGAGCTCCTACCTGCCCTGATCCGGGAGCCGATGGACAGCGGTTCTCTCTTTCAACTATATTAATTTCGTCGCGCCTGGTTCCTTCTTTCCTGCGACCAAAGTCTGGTCTCAAAATGTTGTCGATGTAAAAGTTGGTGATTCTGTGAGGGAGTAGGTTTCCAGGTGCCTGCAACAGGGGTAGAATAGCCCTATTGGACTCATCGCCCGAATCCTGGCGCTCCACATCTCTGTTGCTACGATCATTTTCTTCCATAGTGAAACTCTCCAAATGTTCTTTTTAACCCCTTTCTCTCTAGCACACACACGTATGTTTGTGTTCCAGTTTTTGTGGTATATTTTCCTTATTTCTTAGTTTCACTGCAAAGAGAAACAAACAGGAAAAAAGGACAAATCCTTTTTTCTGATTCTTTTGTCGGTTAAATACGACGAAACCGCCTTGTGTGCGTAAAAAGAAAAAACATAGTTTTAGAAATTAATTCCACAGTGTGCCCCTTGCAATTGTCTTTATATCTACTTTGTAAAACATACAGGCAAATTTAATCTGTGCAGTATCAAAGCAGTAGACCTGCTCTAGTAAATAAGGAAACGCAAACTGGCTCTAGAATACTTTCACTACGGATTTTTGTTCTTATTTTTAATACGAGTCCCCCGGGTGACGTCGCAGTCCGGTATCCTAGACACGTGCCTTTGACCAATAAATGGAGCGAAATTTTATCACATGACCCAGTGACTCTCGAGTAAATGACAGCACCCAACCTCGCCTTATTCTCAATACTTAAAGCGATAGTACTCTATTAGCTTAAGTGTTCAGCATCCCAATATTTTGCCTTTTCAAATCACTAACTAATGAAAAGATCAACAAATTATTTGACAAACACATTTGGTTATTTGTCTGTATGTGGAAACGCTGTCTTTTTGAGTAGGCTCGTAAAATTAATTCGTTTATAAATCGCACTGGGGGAGGGGTGTGTTCATTTTTACACGTAATTCGGTGGTAGGTTACACACTGTCCAATTTCGTAATTTCGTAGTAGTCTTATTCCACAGTAAGCATTGCTGTGCTATTTTTACGGTAAAGTCAAAAATGTAAGTCTACACAAGTGTATTTAGGCCTGCGTACGATAATGAACTAACTAATTACGCACGGCAACTCTCTATGGAGCATCACTCAAAACAACTGTTTTCATTTCCCATCCGTTTCCATGTCAGTTTTTAATGTTTTACATGCATTATGTTCCTCTTTATAGGCCTAAATATAGGCTAAAACAAACCGCCATCATTTGGAAATGTTAGTAGTAGCCTGTAGCCTAGGCTATGCGGTGTCCCTGTTGGTCTGGCATAATTGTGTTGGGATGTGAATAGGGTATTTGTATCCAAAAATATTTCGTTAAATCAATCGCTTTGTTGTAGGCTATCGTTATAACGGTTCGCAAAGACTTATCGTGAGTCGCCGAAAAGCAATTCACTCCAGTAGTTTTAAATAGGAGTTGATGACGTGGCTGGGGCGCTTTAAAAGAAACCAGCGAAGCAAACCAACAGTGATCTTTGGAGCGTACATGGCGTCCTGGAGCGTCAAAATGAAACAAACGACCACTTTAGAAGTGAGCTTATTGGAAAGTTTCAGTACAGGTTTTTTTTACAGGCCTTGGTGCAAATTAGATGGGCTAAAAGGGGACGCATATGGCCCATGGTATTTGGCTACAGAGTATTAGCAGAGCTAACGTATCTCACTCTCGTGCTCACTTTTTCGTCCCTGGAAAATCGTGGAATAATAAAGACAACTTTTCGTTTTCATTTTCGACTTTACTGAGGGATCTTCGGCTTTATTTAATGACCGTAAGTTTAGATAAATCTTTGTCTGCATATCCAAAGTCGTTATTTAAAATAGAGAGACACATGCCAGTTACAGGACACAACCATTATTGTGGTAACAGACACATTTATGAAAATATAGCTATGCAGTAGGCCTACGCAGTTTTTGAATGGAATATTGACAGAATACTATACTTGTTTAGAATCGCTGAACTTGTTACTGGTGGCACGTCTGAATGTTCAGTGTAGCATCTACACGTCATTATGTGAGGTCATCATGGGCCACAAAAGAGCAGGGGTTTGGATAAAACTTTTTTTTTTAAAGCTTTTTATCAGAGTGCAAGTCTTTAATTTCTGGGTACTTGTGTGTACCTGTGATCATTGTACCTACTATTTATAATTGCGCTCGTAATGCTTGGACACTTCTATGGCTATAGCCTACTAAAAGGCTCTTCAATTTGCCTATTGTATTCTCAAGTATTTGATATCTATCATAATTAACTTTTTAAACATATTTTAACTATTGCAGAGACCTGTTAGGGCGCTAGCAAAGTATGTCTTTGCTTTAAATGAAGGGCTCTTTCATAGGCTATAGCATTGGGTTTGTTTAAATTAGGCTACCTATCTCGCCATACATTCTGTAGGCTACACAAAGAGTCTATTAAGCTATAATCTACCTATAAAGGCATGTTTGGGAAAAAAACATATTTTAGTGATGATAACATTGTTATGTGCAGGAGTGTTATCAGTGACATAACTATAGCTTATTGCAATCAAACGCCTACGCTCTCTCCAATTCCTGCATAGGCTACAAGCCAGTGCAATGCCACTTTTAATTCTTGTTTCAAAATATTTTCAAATGTTGACATAAAGATTAAAAACATTAAGAGTGAACAGTTTCTTCCGTATTAAGTTTTTTTTTTTTCAGTTTACTGTTTTGTAAATGTGAGTTTAATATGATGTTTTTAACATGACATTAAAGCTATGTTTGATTTGTAACGACAGTGCAAAGCTGAAGAAAAACATTTAAGTTTTCCTTACAAAGTAAAAGTCTTAATTATAAAGTAATGGTAAAGTAAAAATGTAAGTCTAAAATGTTTCTAAAAGACCGTGTGCCCACATGTGACATTTTTCACTTTCCCAAACCAGCCATAACAAAGAAACGACAAAGAAACGCAACACTTTTAAAAGTTGTCATATTGCGGCTCGGAGTAATTTGATGCACCATTTTTATCCTAGAGAATCACGTTGGCTTCTGGTGGTATACAGCCCGCTAAAAATCAACCATTTAACAAAACAGGAAACAAAAGCTTGCGCGTAATTGCAACGGCTCAAGTTCAGGATAAGTCTTTTTTATGAACATACTTTGAATCCAAATCATTATATGTTACATGTGTCTTCATTATAATCTAAATTAATAATGGCTCTCGACCTATATTAAAAGTCGAACAGACATGTTCTAGTTCTTGTAGAGTATTTCTAGTTCTAGTAGGCCTATTCTAGAATTTCTAGTTCTTGTAGTATTAGCACCGATCAGCATTATTTATTTAGAATGCTGCCTGTTTGTGGGTTTCCGACACTTTTCTCATTTCTGTTTTCTCCATTACAAAAGGTCTCGCGCAGAAGCAAAGAGGGATTTGTGAATGCGCAAGAGCTTTTGCCAGCTCACAGATCATAGAGCTCAGATCAGCACAGATGTGACCCAGTCAATGGATGTGATATCGGGCCTGGAACAATGCTGGGGTCACACGGGATCCCCCAGCTTCCTGTTGCCCTTTTGAAAACAAACTGAAGAAATAGGGGGCAAAACCTTGAGGGACTCAGAGGATGAGGATAAAGGTTACGGACCATTTCCTGTTTGAGACTGTGGAGCAGTGACACACATTCATATCACCATTATGTTGTGATGTTCCATTTCTGTAGGTTTAAATGTTTTTGTATAAGTTGGGGCTTTTAAATCTGTTTATCATAGCTATGACATTATTTGCATATATATATATATATATATATGCATATGCAAATTATGCAATCTTAAGTGGTAATAAAGTAAAGGTAATAAAGTTCTAAGCCTCGCGGGATGGAGCGGGAAGGGACAGCTGTTAGGCTCCCATAAGCGACTTGTCTGTGCAACAGGTGTATATCGGATGCTGTTCATTCAGTTCTCCAAATCTCACTTTACATCACTGTAATGTCGAAAACTGTCTCTTTGCGCAGAGTTCTCAATATGCTGTTTTGATTTAGGCTACTTTTTGGTCCAGCAAAGAAAGGTTATGCCAAACAAATTTCTACCTAATAATCATATTTATATATGTAGGCTAACCTTCCTTCTTCCTCAAGTGACCTTAAGACCCAAAGTGCCTTAAAGATATACAAAGGTCTTGACATTTTATGATCACAATTTCAGGTTAGCCGAAATTGTGGGACCATTTGCAATATACATGAAAATGAATTGTAATCTCTTTCATGTGTGTTTGTAGCAACACACCTTTTCTTGTGGATTTGCCTATGCCGCAAATCAGATGAAATTAAAACACTGCATGAAATTAACTTTGTGTAACTTTAGCATGAGTTTGTTTCTCTCTCTCTCTCTCTCTCTCTCTCTAATCAACAGCATCCATAAATTGTAATCTGATTGGCAAAAGTAGGTATACAATAAAATGCATATTATTTCCAAAATGTTTACACTTTTGAAAAAAAAAGGCCTATAGACCTCCGGAACATTGGAAGTAAGTATGGTTAAATCGTTCAATTAGCAGAGCTTTGTAAGAAACTTTTATAGAAAAGAAGTTTATAGGCTATAGCGCATAGCCTAGTACTGTAATCATGTCCTCAATGTTTTAGTTTTTCCTATAAAGCTTAATGTCTTTCGTGTCCCGATGTATTTATGAAAACATCATAACGACTTTTAAAGGACTGTCGAATAAAGAAACAAAGCGTAGGTCCATCTAAAATAATATTTTATAGTTTTTGAAACTAAAATGTTTTTTTTTTCTTCACTTCACCATTGTCTGTGCCAGTATCGCCCTTTGTTTCCCCTCAGAATCTTTTCGATTTGGATTTTTTTCTTTTATAAAAGAATCGTGTGCATTTTTTTTTTTTGAGAAGTAAAGAGCACGACAGAGAGAAAAGGAAGCGTGAAAAGATCGTAAGAGTAAAACTGGGCTCCCCGAAATCCTTTCTCGTTATTGTTTTGTAAAAGTTTGTCATTGTGAATCTGAGGTCAGGCATAACCGACTGCTGCACAATAGCGTCAACGCTTTGTGAGCACATAAAATAGAAAGTTCCAGCCAGTCAAAAGCTGGGTTTTTGTTACGTTCTCTGTTACTCAAGTTTAAAGTCATAAAAAGATGTGACATTTACATGAAGCTCTATTACAACAAACGTTTTCGGATTTTCACTATTCGTCTTGACAGTCATTTGATCTCAAAAGCCACTGCTCTTGACTGCCAAGCGTGATACATACGCATTTTATGGTATAGACTCCTTCTGCAGCTCGAACATCTA